ATTTAATTATTTCTCCGATAAACGGCAAACGCATACGCCTGCAAGCTATATTGTCATTTTCAATGGCGAGAAAATTTGCATGAATGACAAGCAATGACGAGAGTTAGGTGTATATCATAAACGAAATCGGAATAACTAAATCTCATAAAACCTGTTCATTGAATAATTATAATAATTGTGTCATCCATTTTTCGTATCGCGCATGACATCGGCAATAATGGAAGAATACGGCAAAAATCTACCTCCTGCACACGCTTGACTTGGTTTGTGACATGACGTGATCAGGGTCATCAGAACACTTTAATATGAACCATGTTTATATGTATATATCCGATTTTTATGTAAGATTTGTAAATAGTTATGTTCGGTGTTTAGCTAGGGTTCCATGGTCTCACGCTGATAGCCATGGCCTGGGATGATGCTTTAATATGCATATTATATTGAATTTATACGGAATAAGCTGTTTGTTCCTTTCCCCCGTGGAAAATTAACGGATAGGCTATTCGTTCTGACATTTCCCACCATTTTGAAATGGACAAATGTTTTGGTGAGAGCGGCTAATGGAACTGATTATCTGAAGTAATAATTGACTAAATTCCCTCCAATTCGTATACATTAACAAATAACAATGCTATTCTATCCACTGAATAAACCTATTTTGCTTTTCCATAAGAGCGCACACAAGAGAGAGCGAGCGATACAATCTCGATGGGCCGTATAACCGTTCTGGATGTTTACAATTTTTCCGGTTTGTCATATAGGCATTTTCAGTTTTATTGTCATTAAAAAGACATTGACATATAGGTTTTTAAGAAAAACGGTCTGCATGTGAAATATGTGTGTAAGCTATTAAGTCTACAAAGTGATAAACTTTAATCACCATTTAAAGAGTTTACTATCGCATTCATTGATAATCAATTGTTCAGAATCTTAAACTATTTCAAATAGTATAAAAAAACCCAGCAGATTGTTTAGATAACGCGCAATGCTCTCTTAAATAGCACTTACGCCAAAAAATAGTTTCTATTTAAAAGGAAAAATTACCCCACAGAAAAAGGTCATTACGTAAAAAAGGCACAACAATAATGTAATAATTTATTATCTAACGGTTCAAGTGTCGCACAGTAAAACGTCATGTATTACCATTTCACCCGAGAGGATATCTATTTGACGACAGTGTTGTCCCCTTGGGTGACAATGGGACTGACCCAATCTCTGGTACCAGAATAAACAGACGACTTCATTAATGTGTCCTGTTGGAGGGGAGAGGCGAGTGTTTGTGTAGAGCTCTGCTATTGCGCTCTGTGATTATTGCAAATTTTCCGCTTTTGACCACCAAGAGAGACGTCGAGTGTTACATAGCGTGTACGATACGGTGGTAGTCAGTCAGCGAAGAGTTTTTATAGCGAGCGGCTCAGAGCTCCTCTCATAGTACTAGGCCGTCACGTTGTGGAGTGTTACACATGACTCGTATATCAACAAACGATGGAGTTTTGTGATCTTTATATTTTATTATAGAAAGACATTTATTGTAACGTAATTTGTATGTTATAATAGCAATTATCTCGGATTTCCAGTGAAATGAGGAGGATACTAGCTGCTGGATATAGCGTGCCTGGCCTATGATATCGGATTTTATGACTGTGTATTAGCGGCAGTTACGATAGTGGCTTTCTAATTCAAGGTAATTGTTTATTTCAAAGACGAGACGCCCCTGATTGTATATATTTATACAATATATTTTATTTAATCAAAGGAAGCGCTTTTAATGTAACTGTGGGCCGTGTTATAATTTGACACTGACTTATAAAATGTTCTCGATAAATAACATTGTTTAGATGCAATAAGGTTTGATTGAATGGAGTCTAATTGATAATATTATATATATTTACTTAACTTTACTTTTGTTAATATAGACCCGCGTCCAACTTATAATATTTACACAGCGATTTGATCGATATTGTCAGCCAAAATGCACGAAACAGAAACTTTAAATATTAAGACATTTTTCAGATTATACTCCTTAATTTGTTTGCTGTAAGATATATTTCTATATGTTATTTTTCTGGTGATCGGAACAATTTACAGCACTGTTTTTATTTAGGGAGTTTAAACCTGGGCCCATACTAGACTGTCTGTAGATCTATAATTCTACATAAACGTTTTATTAGGTACACGAAAACAACTCATCAATCACGCGCTAACACTTACCTTTGATATCAAACTTTTACCTTTTTGACGTCACAGCAATAAAATTACAGGTGTAACGTTCTTATTCTAGATAAAATGTCATTTAGCACGGATTAAAACATCTTACATTGAAGGACATTTTTGTCAATATTTGCTGACCCCACCATCGTTTTTAAATATAAAAATATTCTCATAAATTTATCTTGTTATGTTTCTCCCCTCCTGAGCCTTGTGATAATTGCCTTATGTAATCGATCAAATTAAAATATAAATGGGCCAAAGCGATTCGTCTTCTTATCGTTATAACACTGCCTGGCACAGGTGTTTCCGGTAAGACGGTAAAATTAGCCAACGATATCGGATTTAAAGATGATGACTTATTTTTTTATTCAAATTAAAACTACGTGAAACAATCGACAGATTTAATTTGCGATAGTTGATGAAAAAATTGCAATAATTTGCTACAATGTGTCGACCGAACTATCATTTTGTTCTGAAACATTGATTCCCCATGTGTGTGATTGATAGCTGCGTTTCTGTCCTGATGTGTAGTACTCCACGTGGCCTTCTAGGCTGTCACGGCAGGCTATGACTAAATACAGGTCAATCTTATGAGTAAGTGTCAATCATTTGCATAATTAGTACAATGCAAGGTTGAACTTTGGGTGAATTTTAAAATATTTGTGAGAGAGTAGAGAGTTTATACAAACCCTTAGTCCCCTCTTTGTCACATTTTGACCCCAGTGATAGGTGGACAGAACGTTAATACGTGATTTTAAGGGAGGCCTTTGACTAGAGAATTATCAGCAGATACAATCGGTATAATCTAACACCCTTTTATCTATCTGTGTCCACCTTAATCGAATCTGATTACTCCGCGCTCAATTTTCTCCGGGGCGAAATTATTTGATTCAGGCCGCCCTCGATAACAGTAATTGTAGGAGGAAATAAGGTAGCGTTGAAAACCCTGACCTGGGGCAGACCCGTCAAATATTGCTAACTACGTCCAGATATTTATAACTTATATATCAGTACTCGCGTGAAAGCCGCAACGAAAACATTCCTTGGATTTATACTTGAAACTAAGATAATTGATTCAGTTTTCGTATTCCAAATTTCTTTTTGCCATTGGATATATATGTTGGACGTTACATTGGTAAGGAATGTATCAAAGCTTAACTCAGCATTTGTAGTCAAGTAAGTGATTTTTTCTGTCTTTTTTTGTCATGGTTCCATTCTCTGTATGTTTAACATGTGGTAGTGATTTTATGTAATTACGTCTCTTAGTTTTCTCCACTAAGGATATCGACGAACCCACCACTGTTATATAAGATATTAATAACGTCAGAGATGAGTTATTACGATGTTGAATCTGTATGATTTATTCATCCGATTTTGAGTTTCGTTTAATTGGATTAAAAAGATTTAGATCTAGAATAAGATGCAGGAAAATCAATACATCAGCTTTAGTTATTTCATAATGGACTCGATTCCGGTCATAATACACCTTCAATATATTCAGTGTCTGATTTTATAATTGATATTTTAATTATTCAAAAGTCTTTTGAATAGCTTGATTGATATGTTTAGTGTGTGCTAAAGTTATAATCGTATATATAAATGCATAGAGAAGTTGTTTACAATATAAAGCCACATGGGGAAAACTCCATGAAAAAGACATCGCTGATATAATAAATAGCTATATACAGCCTCTATAAACTGTACCGAGTGCACTTTATAATAAAAACCATATTAAATCAGTTTCTTCTCCTGCTATTGAGTAAACACAATGCTCTAGCCACAGAAAGTATGGGAGTTCCGTCGACATTCAATCCCGAAATTCAATAAGCCGGGCCCCGGTGTAGGGAGACGTAAACCCGCCTGGACATTTCAATATTCATGTGGATTATAACTTCATTAAAGTCATGCACCAGAAAATGATGGAGTTGTAAATGGATTTAAACTGATTTCATGTTTACATTTGTCTACTTCAGTAGTTGCTGCATGCTTCGTAGACGATATCGAATCAAATGTAATGATTATTCTAGTTTACTACGAGGAGAAGATCGATTGTGGTCCCCCGTAGTAGCCGAAAGACTTCGATCTGATAATTCTAGTTTGTATACAGCGTATACAATTTTTCCCACGTGCGTTTGTGATGGAGATGAGTTGATGTGTACAAAGAAAACTCGTATATATTTATAAAAACGTCACATGTAACTTATTTATCTATCACTTAATTCTGCGCGAGTTCCCCCTGATGTAAGTACAAGCAAAAAATGTGTTTATAATCTAAGAAAAGTTGTAGGTAGTAGATAATCCATGTTGTAATATGGAAAAAATGTGTATATCTTTGAAAAAATGTACGCTAGGCAATCTCAATCAAATTGTAAATGGCTGGATAGAGAAGCCGCAAGTCTCGACACTTGAATTGGCTTGAAGTACCCCCTCGCCGTCAACGTTGATAGCGTAAAAATTACCATGCAGAAATATCGCACGTGCTGCGTTTTCGTGTTAAAAATCTCAAGTTAACTTTCCTTCAAATCTTGACTAAAATATAATATTTTATAGCTATGATGAAGAATATCTAGAAAATAATTACACGGTCCCGTGTCAGCCAAAAAAACAGCAGGAGTCCCTTAGCGGGGGAGGATGGAGTAGGGGTTTAGAGACGTGCGTTAATGGTCTAATGTGGCCTTGCTATTAGCAGGGACGGGAAATTCATTACTCGCGCTCGGCGGACTGGGTCTTCGAGCGTTGATTCGATAAGTATATATATATACAAGATAGGCCTGCTGCACACGTATCAACGAAAACGGTTCGAGGAAATGTCAGAAACATGTTGACAAAGATTGTTATAGTTTTGAAATAATCTATTGGTTGGATTTTTCGTCGGCAATATGGTCTAGCGAAACCGAAGTTTAGTTCTGCCTCGGCAAAAGCGCGAATCATGGGGAATCCAAAATATAATCAACGGTGTACATATTTCAACAAGGAAGGTACCAAGAAAAGTTCATGAAGTCAAAATCCGTTTCTATAATGGGAATTTAACAAGCGGTCAAATTCTAGATTTTAGGTGTTGAAACATCTGATGGTTAATGTGAACATGTATGAATTACCCACGGGATTATCTAGGAATGTCGGTATCGGAGCGATGTAGCAAGATTTTGAGGCAAACCCAACAGAGTAAGACTACATCGGGAGCCAACTTGTAATGGAATATTCATACCAGCGATGATTGACAACTCCGGGACCATCATGATCAGTGATAGTGGAGAACAACACCGGAAGTGCGCGGACAGGTCTCGACACCGCTAACAAGTTCCCGTGTTGTCAGGTTCACTGTGTACTATGTACATTTCACATTCTTTCATTTTTTCTTTAACAAGTTTGGTGTGAAGCACGTGCGGGTTTTCAATCTCCTGTGATTCTGACGTTATCAAAAACATCAAAACTTGACACTACTTCTGCAGCTAGTGTAGCCAGGCTTTTGTGTTTCCGCGTAAAACCCAATTTGTCATGGAAACAGATTACTGAAGACGAGATCGGGACGATTTGAGCATGTGTTTTGTTTTATAATGTTGAATGTTGAGCGTATGAACACTCTGTCTCGCTGTGTAAACTGTGTTTCAACTCTAACACCAGAGGTCAGTAGTCAAGATTCAGGGACAGGGACACGTGTTTTAAAATTTTGAAATGTCGGACTCTCCAAACTTTTTGAAGATATGAATTCGACAATATATTAATCTATACTTCTCTGGTTTTATCACAGAACGGTTCGGAGACGAAGCACCATGGTTAGGATGGACAGACTGGGATTGTTGGTGCTATTGGCATTAGGATTTGTAACGGCTAACGGTAAGTAGTTAACTAATTATCTTATTTCTTTTATCGGACTCATTTTCCTTTGATGGTAAAACCCTTTTTATTCCTATTCAGACAACATGAAGCGACTTACTATTTTTTTTTATCTTGTTTATAAAAAAATAAACTGACATATAATTGTTGAAGCCAAACTATTTAAAAACAAGGAAAAAATCGGTTTAGAAATTACATAGCTCACCCAGGCCGTCTGTCTATCTACCTACCCTAAATGTCCCATATTGACAGAAAAAGACACAATTTTCTCTTCTCTATCGCTTCCAAATATCTAAGAATATATAGGAAATCCTTTGAGAGGGTAATGGAATCTATATAGTAGTATCATATTTACTGATAGGAGAAGTTAAGTGTTTGCAAATGTATACCAGAATACCCAGGGGATAGGTAGCTTCAAACAAAGTGCTGTTTTAAATGCTGTCATTAAACAGACATTTGAAACTTTTTAAAGTTTATTTTTCTCACCCAAGTTCTTCAGGAAACTGATTTTTTTAACATAACCGTAAAATATTGCCTGATGATAGCCAACAGGATAGAAACAACCACCTCTTATAGGAATTATTTAATTATATCCAGGGTAATTGGTTAGCAGTACAATGTGACAATTATAAGTACAATTTTACCATTGAAAGGGGGCAGATTACAATTAAGAGTCAAAATACAAGGCAATACAATTTAATTACAGTTTATTCATTCACCCCTACATATTTAAACTTGACTTGCCCAGTCATTGATTTGGTAAGGTTAAAATGTGACTTTAGGGGAGAATGGGTTAAAGATTGGATCAAAAGATTTGGTTATAGAAACAGTGCTTCTTATCCCAACAATTGTAACAAGAGAATTGCTTGACCATAATTCAAGTGGTCAAACATTATTCCTGATCATAATTGACCAACATCCTGTCGGGACAAACATACCTAATTGAATACTACAGACTTCATTTCCATATTGATGAGATGGAACAAGCCATGTTCTCTCTGAACCAGGTGCTCTCTGTTTACTTCCCTGATTACTGGGTAGTTTGACACTGGCTCAATAACAGGTTATGAACACTGATAGAGGTCAGAGGTCAAGTAATGAGGATATTTCAGCATCCGTACCATACATTAGCTGGTCTGTTTGATATGATGTCTCCTCCAGATTGGTGGTAATGACTGGGTCAGTCCCTCCATCACAAGGTCAGCTGAGTCAAAGGAGGAACTCATGAATAATTGATAGAGTGTAGTGAAGCCTGTCAGAGATATTAGGGATGTAAATTATAAACTTTTACAACAGAATCAGGTTGGGGATGGGTTTGAAACGTGACTTGGCTAGAGTTAACCTAGGTAGGGATAAGACACGATGTCTACTTCACTAAGAAAAGTGCCAGTGATTGAAACAAAATTACCTCTGATACATATTCTAAATAAACCATGCCCCTTTGTTAAAACATCATTAATTTTAAATTTTAAATTAAAATGTTCTCCAGTTATCTCAAAATGTCTGCGTGCTTGGTTCTTTTCTGTTTGTAGGTGATCAGTGGGAATCCAAACACATAAACGCACTGTTTTCTTATCCAGTTTTATAAATAAGTTTTACATGAAAATAAATACATTCCATAAAGGTTGTCATAAGCTGAAACAGAGGGTCCTTTTATTCAATAACTGTAATACAAAAGTCCTGTTCATATAACTCCTACTGGAGAAATACAGGATTCATATAACTCCTACTGGAGAAATACATGATTCATATAACTCCTCCTGGAGAAAAACTTACCAGACTTTGAGAGGGGAGTCGTGCTACGAAGAACCACTCAGAAACATGTACTGTATGCTTAATTTGAAACAGAATACAAAAAAAAAATCATAAATAGATTTTTATATTTCAAATGTCTCGATCGACATTGCTGTGATTAAATCGTTGAAACGTATTGTAAGTGTGTAATTTGTACTGTAAACATAAAAGACGAGGCAAGATCGTGGAGTAATTGCACTAGAAATTTTCATTCAGTTTTTCGTTTGCATGTATTGCATTAAACCGAAATTACCTGATGTAATGAACGAAAGTCAATGTAGAGATTTCCCCGCAGAAGATCTAAATATAGAGTCGCGGAGTAAAGTGTATAATGTACCGGTATGTGAGAATTTCATATTTGTTGGCAGCAGGTTGCGCTGTGTTTGGCCCGGGATGGGAGGGATCGACTAATTGGTGGGCCTCAGATCTGAGCTTATCGTGTCATCATGCACAGTACATATTCTTTAATATATATTACTTAAACTATTTACATTACTGTATGACACTTGGCAGCCCCAATATAATGGCCTAAATTAAAACAGATTTCATTAATTTTAGTCAATTTAGGTGTAATATTCACCAGGTAATGAGTTTAATGAATGAAGTATCTTGTGTGGAGAAATGGCAATGGTAAACGTAATAGTAAATTATACCTATGTTTGTAGAGAGGGGACTCAACACCAGCCAGATTAATTATACCCAGATTATCTGTAAACTGTTCAATGTCATATTTAATATGAGGAAAATTTATCTATAAGAACAGATGATCCAGAATGCAGATTAGCTGCTTAATTTATAAGTGTCATTCTTCGGTAAATGATAGTTTTGAAAACATTTTCTTTTTTTCTTTTTTAATATTTAAAACCACTAATGCAGCTTTTAGAAATAATGTAAACTGCTTATCTAGTCAGACCATGTATATTCTGAATTACCTATCTTGAAGACTGTCTATTCTGACCACAATTGTGTATTCTGAACTACATGTATAGTCAGACACCTATCTATTCTGACCACATGTCTAGTAGGACCCTGTATAAACTGTCTTTGCTGACCACTTATCTTGTCACACCATGTGAATTTTAAACTGCCAGTCTAATCAGATAAACGATCAGGCCAAATCTATTGTGAAAGAGAAAAGTTCAGTTTGCTAAGTGTAACTTACATTTTTTACAAGAGAGTGATCTTGGAATACATTTCTGTTCTGTTAAGCAAACCAGGACTCTGTTGAAGCTTCCTGTTACCCATTCTCTGGTCCCCCTGGGACCCTCCCCCTCCCCATGGGGAGAAACTTTTGAGATAAGACAAGGGGTAAGGAGGCACAAAGGGTAGGATTTTATAGAGAATGGCAGGATACATGACTTGTGAACAGTTTAATGAAACATTTTGATGTGTGATATTTAGGGAAAGATGAGATAAAATGGTGGAAAATTATGATACAGTTAATGTGTTAGCAGCGATGGTTAATGTTAACATGGCTAACTGTCGATATCACCAGTCGATAAATGTGTCTACCAGTACCTACGGGGGATCGTGTTTTTAGGATAAAACCCCAATCACGTAGAGGGCATTATCCACTTAATTTTCGATATTTCCATAATATTTTTTCGAGTGACTTTGTTTTATAATGTTCCGCTGGCCCTGAGGTTTTCGTAAAAAATTGTGATGAAGAATTTATCTGTTATTTTATAAACTGCCATACAATTTTATCTAGCCAGGGTGTTGTAAAAAAAAATGTAGCAAATCCTAAATGCTTGATCACTGGCAAGAAAACGATGAAATATCACACCAATTCTACTTTAAACCTGAGCAAGATTTGTGTGTTTACTTCGAATAGAAATAAATCTGTGTGAAAAAAATAGTGTGAAGCGAAGCAGTGGGGGACAAGTTAACAGAATTATCCTGAAAAAATCAATACGTCAAGGATCCATTAGTTCTATAATGGTAGCAGGGACAACCGGGAACCCGCTTCCCCTCCCAACCCTACATTTAAAGGCGCTGACCTTCCATTCTGTGAAGGTCACACCTTCCCACATTTCCTTTTCATCGAGCAATTCATAGACAGTAAATTACAGTTGACAGGGAGTGATGCACAGTTCTCAGTCATTCTGTCTTTTCCGGGGAAACCCCGGAAAATTACTCGATAATTGGCTTTATGGAGTTGAAATTGGGTTAAAAATAAGGGGATGTTTAAAACATGAACGTAATGGCTCGAACCCAGGAGTCGAAATTGTGCCGGCGACTCTGAGACTCTCCTTGACTGGAAAGGTGACGATTTTAGCACTTTCTATGGTGCAGACCATCAAAATTGTTAAAAACATGGCACCACAGGGAATGATTTAAATATTGCCCAGACTCAATGATTTCTGCAAAATTCATAATCTTGATTTAGGAGTAAAAATAATTGGATCTGATGTTGTATATTTCATAATTTTCCCACTGGAAACATGTATATTGATTTTGCTTGTTTTCGATGTTTCCATGAGTTTGATATACACAGCGGTGTTAGTTTGAATCAGTAATTCACGTTATAGGGAGGTGTTTAGGAAATTAATAACTTGACGGTCTAGAGAGTTAGTGAAATTTACAGCTGTGTAGATTGAAGCTCTTTGGGTGTTGTTGATCCCAATATGTACTTAATTCAATTTAAAAGCATGTTCTTATACATCTTGACCAATTTCGTACACTTTCTGAACTACACATTGATTGCTATAGGACCTTATTTTTGTCTTTTTATATTGAAATACTTCCTATAAGGGTATTCAATCAAATTTCATGTTAAGGAATAGAAGGATCTGGCAAATAGCGCAAAGGGATCTGGCAAAAACTAATTCAGTTGCATTGCATGAAAATAATATTTGGTAGACAGACCTGATACCGAAAGAAGAACTTTTGATTTAATGTTACATTTTTGAGTTTTTAGAGTTTGGTTTTAGAAGCAAAATCTATTTACTTGGTGTTGAATAACAAGCTTGAACCGTATCAACTAACACAACACACAGACGGTTTATTTAGAGACCCTGCAGGTGCTTGTCTTTGTGGAGGCAAAATCTGCCGTATTGGCCATTGATTGGGAGGCAGCACCAAATTGGGCGCAGCAAAGAGCATAAAACCAAAACCTGGCAGCATAGTGTTGGCCAATGACTGAGCCTGGTTTCGGCTCTGGAGAATCATCATTCCCTGACCCGCTGTGGTTAATGTGCGCAGTG